CCCCCCCCCCCCCCCCCCCGAACTTATGTTTTCGCAGCAAAGGAACCCCTCTCTTAGAATCCACAGATGGACCAACACTTCGGACAGCAGATTTCACCTTTCCACAGATGTTGCAATCAATCAAAATTATGGGGTGGCACCTTCATTGGAGCGAGAACATGGAAGATTGAAGAAACAACTGCCTTACAAGGTTAAGCAAAAGCTTTAGCCATTGGAATGCAATGGGCTGAACACTTTAGGAGAAATAATTGGGCCAACACTGATTGCAAAAGATTAGCCAAGTCAATTTCCAATTGCAAAAACCCGGGAGTCAATCACGAACTTTGGACAACTCTCCTCCATGCTTTTACACATCCACATCAAAAGATCTCCTACATACCTCGAGAGGGAAATATGGGAGCCCATCATTTGGCCAAATGGGCCGCCAACATAATCTTTTTACTCCTTGTATTTCTTTTTTAATTACTCCCACACATGTTCAGGGAGCAGACAATGCTGATGTAACGCTTCCTTTCTTTCGCTAATCAATAAAAAGTTAGCTTCATTATATATATATATATATATATATATATATATATATGAGAAAAGTATTTATTACTAATTAATGAATACGAAAGTTGGTACAAGAAATGTCGCAAGTGATTGCTCCCTTAACAGCCTTAGGGAGAGAATTAAAATTATTGTAGACTGTATAAAAATTGTTCTGAATTGCGTGTCTTGCTAGATTGTGAGCTGCTGAGTTTTCTTCTCTGGAGATGTGCCTAATTGTTCCCTTATTTTTTGCTAGTGTAGTCCGAATCAGGGAAATTATTGCTGTTGTGTGAGTAGAGTCATTGGCTTCTTTAATTGAATTCTGAGAGTCAACTCTCAGGTGGATGGGTGCCGTTTGAAGTCCTGCCGCCCATTGCAAACCAAGGTTTGCCGCTGCTAGTTCCCCTTCCAGTGGGTTGTTGCCTTGTACTTCCGCTGTAATTGCTGCAATGAAGTCCCCCGTTCTTGAACGCAGAATTGCTCCTCCAACTTGTCTCCCTTCTCTGATAGCTACGTCGGTGTGGAGGATGACTCCGTTTTCTTCGTCTCTCTAGTTAAGAATCTAAATTGCTGGTGTCTTGAGCTTTGGTAGGTCATCTTTGTTGAAATAGAGTTTATGCTTGCTTTTCACAGACGCCCATTCGATAAGGTTTTTCCAAATTATTTGCATTATTTAGAAAGCAGATTTGGGGTCCTCATCATGTTGTCTTCTATTCCTTTCTTTCCAGATTTCAAAGCTAATTATGCCTGGAATCACGAGCTTGGCTGCACTGTAATTGTTTTAGGTAGGATTGTTCCAAGTCTCCTGGCCAATAATTTGGATGTGACCTTGCTAATGAAATTGGAGAGGCATATAGGCCTGTAATCTTCAAAAGAGCAGGAGTTTTCTTTCTTGGGGATAAGAATAATGGTGGTTGATGCCATAGTTTTTGGAATTGTAATCCCTAAGAAGAATTCTTGGACTACCTTAGTGACATTTTCTTTGATTGTATTCCAACAAGTTTTGAAAAATTCCCCAGTGGGCCTGCAGCACTATTTGGATCAAGGCTCCAAATACTTTCTTTGACCTCATTTTCATTAGGTAATTCAGTGAGGTAGAGATTATCATCTGAGGTAATGAGGTTGGGAATGTTTCTGGTAAAATCCCCTGTGTTCTCACTTTCTTTCCAGCAGTAGAGCTTAGAATAGAAATTGTGGGCTTCAGCAAGCAGCTGTTGAGTATCTTCCACCCATTTCCCATCAGTGTTTTTAATTCTCTGAATCTTTTGAAAGGACCTTTTCTCTTTAACAGTGTTGTGAAAGAAAGAGGTGTTGCAATCCCCTTCCTTCAGCCATTTAAGACTAGCTTTCTGTTTCTAGTACAGAAATTCATTGTTGGTAGCTTGAGTGTGGAGTGCTCTGATTTTATGAAGGTTGCTTCTATTGGCAGCAGTAGGTTCTTTATCAAAAGTGTCCTCAGCTTCTTGAAGTCTCATTTCCAGGTCTCTGGCTTTGTTGAAGATATTTCCAAAGCTGGTTTTGTTCCAGTTCTGAATGTGCTTGGAGAGACCTTGTAGTTTTTCCATAAGTCCCCTCATTCCTCCACCTCTGTAGGGGGTCCAGTAGTCCTCCACTGTTTGCTTGAAGGAGTGGTGGGTAGTCCAGCAGTTTAGAAACCTGAAGGGCCTTGGGCCAGTGTAGCTAGGATTCTGACCTTTGAGAAAAAGAGGACAGTGGTCAGAGGCTCCTCTAGGAAGGTGGAGTGTATTGATGTCATTAAAAAGGTTAAACATCGTGTCATTGACAAATGTTCTATCAAGTCTTCTCTAGATTCTCCCTAGTGATCTCACTCCAGTCCAGGTAAAGGGATTTCCTGTGTAAGGAGGTTCGATCAACCTACCTTCCATAATGCAATGATCAAAATCATTGATGCTTTGGAGACAAGGTGAGCTTTTGCCCTTGTGTTCATCAATAGAAGAAATTGAGTTAAAATCTCCTCCAATAATCCAGGGGTTGATTTCATTTTTGCTCCCATCAATGATGTTTTGCCAAAACATTTTCCTTTCTTCTCTTGTGTGTTTACCATAAACACCGCTGATAGTGATCTGTGTTCTGTTAGGCACATCCTGCATCTGTACATTGAGCATCTGGCCATAATCCCAATGATTAATCAGTGTGTAATGGGTATCCTTCCACATCATCCAAATTTTGTTACTAGAGCTGTGCAATGAGTTTGAGAAGCCCAGTTCTAGTTGAAATTTGATGATTTTACTGTGATGGGTTTTGGGTTCAACGATGGTGACAAAATTAATCTGGTGATCCTTAATAATAGTGGCTAGCCTTTGAGATTTAGAAGGTAGACCACAAATGTTCCAGAATAAGCAAGTCATAAAGAAACTGATTTTAGTTTACTTTCTGAAATGAGCTTCTCCTGGAGTCTTTTTGATTTTCTTGTTGTCACCAGTGTAAATTCTTCCTCTGATGTGTTAGGTCATAGGTGGGTCTTCTTTTGTAGGATGCTCTTGAAGGATAGGATTGTTGGGGTCAGGAGAAGTGGCACTGCTGGGGCTATTTGTTTGAAGGGTGTCCATGAGGG